TAGAAAGTGTCAATACATCAAATGTATCATAATCATAGCTCATAAACAGTACATCATAGAGCACCAAACCAACAAATAAATATATATATATATATATATATAATGTAAAAATAAATAAAAATATATAAACAAAACTTTTGAAATTATGTATTTGCAATACACATACAACGTTTGCAGACAACGTCGTTGCAAATTCTATGCTTTGCAAATGAAAATAGATTTCAAATTTGTAATGCTAATTTCCAAGTTGTATCAATCGTTGGAAATTTGCAATGACATTTGCAACGCACCACGTTACAAATTTGCGATGTTCTTTGCATAAATTTCTCTTTAAATTGTTGAATTTGATGTGTAAACGTCACCAGATCCATTAGACACTATATACCATCTCCGACATTATGAACAATATCTTCTTTGCTTAGATCCAAGTCTGTGGTCATTGTTATATTGTTATTGTTATTATTATTATTATTATTTTCGCTTACTAGGTAAATCGCATATAAATACCTAAACTTTTATGAAAATCTCAGATAAATGCCTGAATTATAAAATTTTTATATAAATACCTGAACTTTTCTAAAATCCTACATAAATACCTAGACTTCTGAAAAACTCCCAAATAAACCCAAAATCCGTTAATGACATCACCTATTTTTATTTGAAAAATACCTTAAATTTATATTTATTTGGGAATTTTTTAAAAAATCTAGGTATTTGTATAGGATTTTTAAAAGTTTAAGTATTTATATGGAAGTTTTATAGTTCAGATATTTATGTGGGATTTTCATAAAAGTTTAGGTATTTATATGTTATTTTCCATTATTATTATTATTATTATTATTATTATTGAAGATAAAATATTGGCTAAACATTTCAGTATTAGGGGGCCAAAGTTTTAATTAAACAAAGTTGTACAGGCCTAATTGTTCAAGTGTTAGTATATGAGATTTAGAGAGAACGAAATTCGAGAATTTTCTTTGGCACAAGAAGGACATTACAAGAAATGCGAATATACATCAGGAACATGATCCGAGACATCTTCCTCTCGACTCAAAAGGGAAAGTACGATATACTGATAATCTATCGACCTCAAGTGTGTGGACTGGATCGGCAGCCGTCGCTATTTCAAGTGTGTGGACTGGAAATGGCTAATGGAGTTGTGGAGCTTTCCCGCTCAGTTCCGATGAGCAGTTTGTCTCCGGCTCATTCGTGGGTGTCGACCACCGCCGTCACCGGAGGCGGCGGAAGCAATGGCGCCGCCGCCGGTTTGGAAGATTTTCGTTTTCCGCCTGACATCGCTTCTATACAAGAGCGCAAGGACGAAGCCATGCACGGTCTCTCTCCTTTTCCCTCTTTTTTCGAGAACTTATTTTCTTGAGCCTTTGTGATTTTAGGGTTTCTCAATGGTTAAATGATTCCGATTTCTTGGGATCCTTGTAGAATCGGGATCAAGTGTTTTGAAGCAGCGTATTGCTTTGTTAGACAATCGCTGTCTGGATTCTAGGTTTTAGGTTTGTTTCTCTGGCTGTTTTATTGAGATTGGGGTGAGCACTGCGCTTCTTATTCAGTGAATGAATGCTGTCGTTGTGGTTCCGGTGATGATTCTGCTGATGTTAATCCCTTTGGCAAAGACTGTAATCTAATTGGGATCGCTTAGATTACTGCTGGAATGCGCTTGCCTGAGAATATTTTCCATCTTTTTAGATTAATGTGGAGATTCTTCTGCTGTCGTGATGCAGTATTGAAGGCTAACTTAATGGCTGGACTAGATAGGCAGGTTAAGTCTTTGGAAGGTGACAACTGGATATTCGAAGGTCCTCGTTCGCGTATCAATCTTATATCCAGAAGAGGTTGGTACCCTGATATTTTGCTCTGGCTCCTTTCTTGTGAACACGGTTCTCCTCACTGTCAAACACGGTTCATGTACTTGGTCGTTAAGTGGTATCTATTGTACTTGACGATTTCGGCTCTGGCGAATCTAGATCTCTGGCTTGAGTACTACGAATCGCTGATTGTGGAGCCATGTTGTTAGGAGAGGTTCAAGAATAAAATTGGACTCGATTCAAGACTTTTTTCTGTTTGCTGAATGTTTCACTCTGGGATTACTTGATATTTTGAATCAGGTGGGCATATGCAGAAACAAGCTGAGACTGCAAAGAACTCAGGATTGGCTTAACTGCCTAAATGAGGATCTGAAGCTATTTTATAACCAATTTGTCAGCAGAACTTTCCGGATGCAGTTCTTTCCTTATAGAAAATCTTAACTTTCGCCATGTTTTCTTAAGCTTTTATGATATCTAAATTACTGTTTGATTGGTGCTGCGGTTTTGGAACGTCTAGAATTCCATTTGTTTTGCCTATCCATTGATTAGGACAGAGGACCAGATCAATGATTGATAGTATCAGATACAAATTTAGGCGTCTTTCCCGTTTTTTTTTTTGTTTTTTTTTTAATTTTGTACCAGTGATTAGAGTTGCAAACCCTGTGAATAGTAGGATTCGCCCAGCAAAATGTAGAACTTGAGCTCAGTTCAAGAGGTTGCTGCTTCTTGTTCTTCTTCTACTTCTAATATTCTTCAGCTTCATAATCTGAAATATTCGGATGATGTCAGCAAGATTATTTACAAAAGCGTTATGATTTATACCATAAATTGTATATGGAATACTGAAAATTGAAAAAAGTTTTTTTTTTATATAGAATGGCTAGATAATGCATATAATATATAATGTTTTAATTCTGTAAAACAAGTAACAATTTTTTGAGTAATGGTCATCGTTTTTTTTAAAAAAAATTGGTTATTTTTATTTTTTTCTAGAGCAAAACGTTATTTAAAATTTTCTTAAAATAATGAAGTTAAGATTTATGGCAAGAAATTTAAAAATATAGATTTAAGTAAATTAGTTTCTAGTTGGACTCATTACGGAGTTTAGTGGTTGTATAAAGAAAACAGCCAAGCAGGAGCTGAGACATGGATGACCACTTCTGATTCTCATGGCATCTTTAATTCCACGGAACAGTCAGTTCTATACGCCACAATTGTCAAGAAGAGCAAGCATTTATCTGCCAATAATTCTCAAGACCTCGATGACGTCGAGAAACGTGGCCACCGGAAAACCGAAACCCTCTGTGCCCTGAAAACCATCCGGCCAGACCAAGACGACGACAGTCCTTTTTCTTCATCTGTTCGGTCAGCTTGTCCATATGTTTGGTTCTTCTCGGTCTTGCTCGTGCATTGGAGGCTGATATTTCACTAACTGTCCATCATGAGAAGCCGAATTCTGATTCTCGACAGCCCCTTCTTGCTTCAGCCTCCGCTTCCATTGGATCCTGTACATGTTGCAGATGGATACAAACACAGTGTATCAGATTGGTTCCTATAACAAATGAGACGGATGAAGACTCTCTCACCTTTGATTTTACCATGCCTTGATCGGCATATTCATCAGAATCTTATGCAGTTTCCCAAAAACAGGGGGTAAAAAAGCATCTGAACTTCCAGGGGACATTGTTCTTACCTCAATACATCATTTGTTGCTGCCTCTGCTCCATGCCCTCGAGCCGCTGTATCGTGTTTTGAAGTTGGTCGTGATGTTCGAGTTCCGACCCAAAAGCCACGAGTTTCTGAAGCTTTCTGAGACGAGGCTCGATTTGATTGCGTCTTTGAAGGGAAAAAACGAGAGGATGTTCTGAACGATACTAATAAGGTTTAGGCCCTAACTCCACCACAAAAGCTAGCTTAAAAGTAGAGGTTTGACCATTACTTATATATTGGCCCAAATCCCTCCCATTTTCCAATGTGGGATACTTATCAACACCGCCCCCTTTAGACAGCGACGTCCACGGCGCTGGGGCAAATCTGGTCGCTGGCGGCTTCTTGGTCGATGGCGGCTTCTCGATCACTGGCGGCTTCTCGGTCCATCCCCGACCGTTCCTCTCCTGATCGTTCCTCTCCCTACCGTTCCTCTCCCGACCGTCCCACAACCACCGAGTCGACCGCATGTCCGCAGGAGAACGGCCCGTCAAAGACCCACCGGAAAGTAGAGAGTTAGGCTCTGATACCAATTAATAAGGTTTAGGCCCTAACTCCACCACAAAAGCTAGCTTAAGAGCGGAGGTTTGACCCTTACTTATATATTGGCCTAAATCCCTCTCATTTTCCAATGTGGGATACTTATCAAATACATTGAAACCCAAACATTCTTCCTCTGTTTCGATTCTCTTGGTTTTTGCTTTTGAAAGAGACATTTTGATTTTGACATATTTTACAACAAAGTGGATTAGAAACTGCAGATGTCAAATGAAGCGAGGCTGTGTCTCGAATTCTCTTACCACCGTGTCGTCCAGGTTCGGTTTCAGGGCTTGAGACACTCTCTCTACAGATGTCAAAAATGTTTCAGGGCCCGTGTCAGTCAACCCACGTTTTCCGGTGGGATTGCCACTGCTGAAACTGTGCCCAAACAAACAAAGGCACACAGGATTTATGACATTGAAAACAGAGGAAGTGAAACAGAGCAGGTATTCGGATAATATACCTGGATAGCTTGAAGCTTCTGGTTCTTCTCATCAAACAAACAACCATGCGATGCTGGATAGCTTGAAGTTTCTGGCTCTTCTCATAAGCCGTTTAGTACTTACATCTACTAAGAGAGGAGATCCAAAAACCCCTTTTCCAATCTACCTTTATATACCATATCCATTATCATATTTGAGGTCGATGCATGCATAGAAAAGCCATTGCTCCGCATTTCTCATATCAGCTCGATAACCATCGACGGAAAGCGACTTCTAAGACGACCCCTGATCAATGCGTTATATGTACCATCGTCGAGAAAACAACCAGCCTCTTTCATCTTCCCAATTACCTTCTCGACTTCATAGAGTGAGTCTTTCCCGCAAAGCCCAAAGATCATTACGTTATACATGATAACATTTGGCTTCACCCCTTTGTCAAGAAGCTTATTAAATAATATCAACTCTTCGTCAACCTTCTCAGCCTTGCACAAACCATGCATCATGGTACTATGGAGAGATATATGGAGGTCTATCCCACTCTTATCCAACTTATTATATAGGCTAAGTGCCTCGTCCGTTTTTCCATTCTTACAAAGTCCATCAAGCAAAATGCTTTCAGTCACAAGATTAGGATGATGACCCTTATACTGCATCTCCATGAAAAACTTTTGAGCAAGATCAAGGTTGCCTACTCGATAAAACCCTTGGATGAGGATGTTGTAATTAATTGCATCAGCAACCAATCCTCTTCGAGACATCTCATAAAGGAGATTAATACCTTCATTGACTCTATTAGCCATGCAGTAACCATTTATCTTGCCGTGGATACATAAACCATGAGCTAGAGTAGTGTAGGTGACTGCATCAGGCTTGTAACCGAGTTTCAAGATTTTTCCCACGACAAATAAGCCCAAAAACACTTGACGAGAGTGGCAGAAACAGTTGATCAAAACACTCAAAGAGTAGATATTATGTGAAACCCCAAGCAATTCCATTTTCTTGCAGAGGGAAATGACAACATCATACCGTTTCATTTTCATGATTGCACTCAATAGTTTAGTGAAATCAACGATGGAAGGTAAGGGACGAGACTGAACCATCAGATCGAACAAATCATCAGCATCCTCAACATGACAATCATGAAACCCACATCTCAATCTGTCTCTGTATGACATACTACGGTCTCTAACACCGGAAAAAGACGATCTCCGACAGCTTGAGAGAGAGGAACAATGCAAGAAATTGTTCAGAGTACCTCTCCCCAGGGGAGGGGATGAGTCTGAAGCAAACCTGAAGCAGAAACCAATGCAAAAGCAGCCATTCTCCGGACCACTGACGTCATTTTAGCTTCCATTCAAAAAGACAGGATCAGAACCCCCACAAAACCTTATCCTTGTCGACCCTGAGATAGAAATCCAAAACTCATTCTGGGTCAAAACTCAAAAACTGGATTTCGATAAACAGATTCCACGAATTCAACATAAAAACTGATGTGAGAATCAATTCAGACAAGAGAAGAACCGACTGCAATCAACATAAAATCTTATATATATATACACATATTAATCTCAATATATTTGATTACAAACATAGAATTTGTCCATATACTCCAAATGGCAATTTAAGTTTATTTTTCAGAGACTCAAATAATTTGTTGATATAAGCTTTTAAAAACACCACCCATAAGTATAACCATGCCATAAAATTAATTAGTACGCACCTTACTCTCCCGTTTTCTTACGATGGTTGATTTCCCGTCTCCGTTGCTTCCGTGTTTGTGCCTCTGAGATTAAAAAGAAAGTCGCCAAGTGACGATCTATTATCAGATCTCGAGAGAGAGAGAGAGGGAGAGAGGGAGAGACTTGAGAGAGATGACTACAGAATCTAACTATCTAAGCGGCGGAGACTTGAGATTGAGAGCACAAGGGTTGAAGTACACGAAGGCTAAATTACGAAAAGACTCGAGTTTTCTCCCCAATAAATTAGTATATGATCGTTACAAGTTTCAGTAATGGGCCGAGCACTTCTTTTTTAATGGGCCGGATGTTAAAAAAAACATAACCCGGAACTTCTGATTATTGATTTACAATAGATCCCCGACCATAACCGGATTCACATCACAAATTGTATTATCTTACCCCAAAAAAATCAAATTTTTTTTAAAGATATAAACTATAATAATAATAATAATAATAATAATAATAAAAAGGGGGAAAACAAGAATAAAAGAATTGTCCTCAAAGGTCTCTTCTGCTTGATTCTAAAGAGGGCAAAAGGCAGTGTCAAAGGATTGATCTTATAAAAAAAAAATCAATTTCTGAATTTGATTTCAATATTAAGAGTGTCGTAATATGACCATTTCTTTCTTCATGTCAAGTTACTCCAAAAGCTTCTTCTTCCCATCACGGAATCGATTCTTATATATATATATGGGAATATATATATATATATATATACATATATTTGTTACTTTATTTTTCAAAAAAAGTTTCTTGCGGAATAAAGAAAATGTTGCATCTTTTGTTTTTGTGATGCAATGCATATAGATATTATTTCCTTCTCGGTTTCAACAAGTGAAATGATCATAATAATAATAATAATATAATCATGTGTTCCTTTATTTTAGTGGGGAGATGTAAGAAAAAAGGTTGGAAACTGATTTCCCCTTTGATAAAGTTGGAGGCTTGTGTAGAAATTTGTGGAATGATATTTTTATTGATAGTCAAAATAACATATAAATAGACGAGAGTCTTATATTTGAATAAATAAAGTACACGTAATACTAAATATTCCTAAATATATATTTTCCGGATTTGATAAGATCTCCATTATATGATATATCTCGTAATATTCTTCAAGATCCGGTATATCTCAACATCCCCCTTCAAGTTGGAGCGTGGAAGATCACGAAACGCCCAACTTGCTGAAAAGATGATTAAACGCATGCCGCTTGAACTACATCACCTTGCGAACTTGTGTCAATCATAACTAAAAAAAATCAAACAAACGAATGCGCTGCAACTTTGGCACCACGCACAAAAGAATAGTTTGATGATAACAAAAAAAAGGACGACAATCGCGGTGCAGAAAGAAGTCTCGAGAATAACTCTGATTCATCCGAGATTGAAAGGCAACTACGCGAAAATGTTTAATGACAACAAAGTTTTTGGCAAGAATAAGATGATTGGCGGTTAATCGAATAATCTTTAGAAACATGTGGGATTATGAGAGAAAATAAAAAAAAATAAAAAAAAATGACTCTCTTATTCTTAATAAAAAAAACTCGAAATGATATTACCACTGGATCAGTATATCATCATCTTCATCTTCACTCTCATTGTCGATCATCATTTTTATAAAAAGAACAACAAACTAGAAAAGAACCAGAAGCACTCATACCATGTAGAAATTTACGGAATGATATTTTTATTGATAGTCAAAATAACATATAAATAGACGAGAGTCTTATATTTGAACAAGTAAAGTACACGTAATAATAAATATTCCTAAATATATATTTTCCGAATTTGATAAGATCTCCATTATATGATATATCTCGTAATATTCTTCAAGATCCGGTATATCTCAACAGCTTGCTCCACCAAATCCAGTCTAATGACATAATGATCGAATTTATTCCATGTCATATATATATATATATCATAAATAATTTTATTTTAAATTGGGGAAAAAATGAGATGTATCTTACTGTAACCGTAGAGTAAATGAGCAAAACCAATTTCATCCTTACTATAGTAAATCAACTTCTGATTATTGATTTACAATAGAGCCCCGACCATAACCAGATTCACATCACCAATTGCATTATCTTACCCCCAAAAAATCAAAAAAAAAAATCAAAGATATAAACTATAATAATAATAAATTTTTTATTTAATCAGGATGGTTCTCCGGGTAAATGCGGGACCAACCTTTGTATATAGACCATTTTGGTCCAGAAATTACATCCCTCCCCACCAGTGGAATCGAATCCAAAACTTTGAGGATGACTTTGTCACTTCTTAACCACTGAGCCACTAACTGTTGGGTTATAATAATAATAATAATTAGTTTATCAGTTGTGTGAGTGGAACATCTGGGTTGTGAATCTGCGCTTTCGGCTCTAGTGGCCGGTTTCCGACCACCGTCAGAAGACTGTGATCTCAACCAAGAAAAAGATGGACAGAATCGGTACGCAACTTATTCTCTCGTTTGGTTGATTTTCTGTCTCCGTTGGTCCTGCGTTTGTGTCTCTGCTCTCGTCTCTCTGGATGATGAGAAAATCGCGAATCTCGTCAGATTTCGACAAGGATCCGACAATCTCGGCACGAAGACAGACGGAAGAGAGAAAGAGGAAGGCACGAGAGCGTTTTTTTCAGAAACCGTTTTTCGATGGTCAAACCCACTATCCGAAGCAGAGGATCTAACAAAGGACGTTTAAGGTCAATTTAACCGCGGAGTCCAACATTTAATGCCAATATCATTTTTACTAATTAGTATTAGTTCAAATCCGTGAATCTTCATTATACGATATGGATTAATTAATTAATTAAAAATAAAAAAGATATTTTGAAATACCTCACGTGGTTTTTGTTTTTGCTTTATGTTCTTGTCTTCTTCTCCTCTTGTTGCCACGGGTTCGAAACCCATGAAGTAAGCACATTAGGACAACACTTCAATACCAATTGAGCTGCAAGAACCAGGCATTATTACTCCCTTTTATAAATAAATAAATGTATTTCAAGGGCATGATAGTAGGGATGAATATTTCGGTATGGTTTTTCAAAACCGAATTGTACCGAATCGAAAATACGGTATTTTTTCGATTTAAACTGTTCAAAAGTTTTGAACGGATTAATTTTAAAAGAACCGAATTTTTCTAAATCGAACCAGAATCAAAACCGAACCGAATACCAAATGTTAGAACATAAAATATATTATGATTTGAGTTTGAACTGGAACCAAAACCACCACTATTTCTCCAAGCATCACCATTACCTTATATCAGTATTTCATCACCATTACCATCTCCATCATCCCTTGGATCAAAGACCATCACCATTGACGTTTTTCATGTTAAGAACATGTGTATACATATAACGAAAGTAACCACCTGAGACCGAGTCGACTGGCGCATCTGATGAAGAAGGTTGGTAGTGGAATTCACGGCCTGAGATATCTGATCGGCTACGAACGAATTCGCCGTCCGATCACCGCCGCCGATTCACCTCGCATATCCCATCGTCGTCGCCATTTTTCCACCTCAACTGTCGCTTTTCTTTCTTAAAACAGAAAGGACGAATCGGGGGGATAGAGAGAGAGAGAGAGAGAGAGAGAAGACCCATCTGAACCCCTGCCGCCGCAGTTACGCATCGCGTCCTCGTCGGCCGTCGGGGGCTGCTCCATGCCCGATCTAATGGCCAAGAAGAAGAATCAGATCTAATGGCCAAGAAGAAGAATAAGAATGGCTCACCGTCCACCTCTGCGATGTCATCCCATCTCCCAGTCGAATCGCGCAAATCCGATGTCTCCGTGACGCAGCTCCCACCTGAGTCACCGGTTTCCGATCCCTCTGTGCAGTCTTCTCACTTCAATGATGAGGACATCGGACCCAACAACATCTCGAAACGAAGATCTTGATGGAAGGATACCTCGGATCGAAGACACCAAGTAAAAGGAAGTTTCTTGGAGTGCAAGACAATTATCCAAAGGAAGCTTCATCATCATCAAGGCAACTCCAACAACTAGCATCCCAACCACCTCATTTAATGCAACATCAACAACTCCAACAACTAGCTTCCCAACCACGTCATTTAATGCATTGGACTCCTACTCCTCTTGCATGTTCTTGTCATTTAATATTGTAGTTGAGAATTCTAGCCTATATAAAGGCCTTGTAGTGCATCATTTGTAATCAGACTTGTAGAATGTCTCAAACATTTCGAGTTTTATAAGCTCTTCTTCGGTTTGTCCGAAATTTATCTCGATCTTCGGTGTGTCCGAGATCACAAGTTTGGTGTGTCCGAACTCAAGCCTTGGTGTGTCCGAGGTCCACTATCTATTCTTCCCCTTCGTTCCATCCATTTTTCTATCTTAGTTTTGAATTCGAGAGCCTCTTAGAGCCGGTGATTGAAACTAAGATCCATCCAATTCCCCTTCGTTTTAACCACAATCCGAACGCGAATTCGAGAGCCTTCTCCGTGAAGTGTGGGTGATTGCGTTTCAGATCAGATTCCATCCTCTCCGAGCCAAGGCGTGTATCATTTTGGTATCAGAGCTTGCTCGAGCCAACAGACGTCTAATCCCGGTGAGATCTATCCTTTATTTCAGTTTATTTCGTAAATAAGTTTTGAGGGCAAAACTCGGAGAAGCGAGATGGAATGATGAGGACAAAACTTCTGAAGAGAGAGAGAATGATGAGGATATCGAACCCAACAACATCTCGAAACGAAGATCTTGATGGAAGGATACCTCGGATCGAAGCCACCAAGTAAAAGGAAGTTTCTTGGAGTGCAAGACAATTATCCAAAGGAAGCTTCTTCATCATCAAGGCAACTCCAACAACTAGCATCCCAACCACCTCATTTAATGCAACATCAACAACTCCAACAACTAGCTTCCCAACCACGTCATTTAATGCATTGGACTCCTACTCCTCTTGCATGTTCTTGTCATTTAATATTGTAGCTGAGAATTCTAGCCTATATAAAGGCCTTGTAGTGCATCATTTGTAATCAGACTTGTAGAATGTCTCAAACATTTCGAGTTTTATAAGTTCTTCTTCGGTTTGTCCGAAATTTATCCCGATCTTCGGTGTGTCTGAGATCACGAGTTTGGTGTGTCCGAACTCAAGCCTTGGTGTGTCCGAGGTCCACTATCTATTCTTCCCCTTCATTCCATCCATTTTTCTGTCTTAGTTTTGAATTCGAGAGCCTCTTAGAGCCGGTGATTGAAACTAAGATCCATCCAATTCTCCTTCGTTTTAACCACAATCTGAACGCGAATTCGAGAGCCTTCTCCGTGAAGTGCGGGTGATTGCGTTTCGGATCAGATTCCATCCTCTCCGAGCCAAGGCGTGTATCACTACCTGAGTCAAGGATTTCCGTGGGCCTATGCTCGCCTTCTGGCAGATCTGCTCTGGTCTTGCCTACGGCCATTTCTTCTCCGATCTCGCCTACGACAAGTTCTGCTCCGGCGCCTTCCTATGCTGCGGGGAGAGGTTCCTCGCCTCCACCAAGCCCTGCAATTTTGACCGCAGGGCCACTACTTCCCCCTCCCCTGAACTCGGACGAATTTCCCCCTGGGTACTATCTCTCCATCTTCATGAGCTCCTACGCCTCCTTCTGTATCGTCGGGTGCCGCCGCAGTGGCTTATTCTCTGCAACCAAATCGTCCCCTGAAGCTCCAATGGGCAGACATATTACGGCCGAGTTCCAGGAATCTGAGCCGGGTTACTACTCTAATCATCTCTGCGGGAGGTAAACCGAGGGTTAGGGTACCTAGTTCAGTGCTAGTTGAAGCGTCTCAAACTTGGAATGGATATCTTGTTGGTCATTTCTCTGGGGTTGCTCCATCAGGCTCTAGAATATTTCAATCGTTAAATCTGATATGGGGGCGGAAGGCACGCATTCATGTTCGCAGGGTCAGTGATACCTCCTGCCTATTCTTCGTTGCTCATGTACCAACTAGGGAGTGGATACTTGAGGTTGGAATTTGGAGGGTTGGTGATACAATGTTCACGGTCGCAGAATGGTCCACTACTGCTACTTTTCGCCAATCGGTCCTTACCTCGGCTCCGATATGGGTAACACTTTCAGAGATCCCAGCGGAACTCTATAGTTTGAAAGGAATTAGTTATATAGCCTGTGGTATCGGGGAACCACTTCACATTGAGCGAATGCGACTAGACCCGCTGAGCGTTGGTCAAGCTCGAGTCAAGGTTGAGATACAACTTGGTGCAGAGCTTCCTGACTACATTGAAGTTGAGGATGAGAAAGGGGGCGTTATCGTAGTGAAGGCTTCCTACTCTTGGTTACCACCTCGCTGTTCTACTTGCAAAACATTTGGACACAAGAATACTAATTGCTTGTTGCGCCGCAATCCTGTCATTAATGAAGCCAGCTCCTCGAAAGCTAACACTCTGCCCCCGGAAGACCAACATCCTACTGATACTACTCAAGCACAACTTGCACCCCAAGGAACAACCCACCTGAGTCCCACAACTCTGGCCAAGTCACCAGCGACGATAGAAGCTCCAGACAACACGTCTGATCCCTTATCTACATCGTTGGCACCTCTTCCTCATGTGCACATAATAACAGGGGGCGCTGAACAGTCTGTTATTCATACGCATCAAATAGAGGTGCCCACCGCTACCGTACAAAACGCCCCAAGATTGATGTTTGCAACTGAGGAGCAAATGATCTTTGAAGCTCAACGTGTACTCAGAAGCAGAGCCAAACCTCCCCCTAAGATTCTTGATGATTTCACTGTAGTCAGGAGAGGTAGGAGTGGGAGGAATGCTCCGAACTGAGCCAACTTATACCCAGATTTTTTGGTTTTGGTATTTTGGAACAACTTCTACATGAAGTTATTTTGTTGGAACGTCCGTGGAGCCAACAGACAAATCAAACAACGTGCAGTTAAAGAACTTATTCGTGCACAACAAGCACGAATTGGGGGACTCATCGAAACTAGAGTAAGGGATGAATCTTCGGCTTGTCGTATTGCTCAGTTCATTGCCCCCTCTTGGGGCTTTGCCAATAACTACGCTTCCGCTGGACTCGGTAGAATTTGGATTATATGGGAGCCTACCTTAGTCGTCAACATCTACTCAAGCTCGGACCAAATGATCACTTGTGGAATATTTGACCCTGCCACAGGTACATATTTCACGATCTAAACCTAGTCAAACGTCACACACAAGGAGAGTTTTATGGCAGGAGATTGTGGATCTCTGAATCCATCCTATGATCCCTTCCAGACCTTAGTTATTGTTGGGTGATTACAACCAAGTACTACATCCTCGAGAACATGCTTCCCCTGTTGAAGAACAAGGAGCAATCAACAAACACTCGGATTCTAGCAGAAGGACTCAAGCAACTGAAGACTCAGATTCAAAAGGAAGCTTTGGAGAAAACGAAGACTTGGTTACAAACAGAAGGTTCGAAGACTTGCAAGCAAGGAAAGACTTGGATTCTATTGGAGGCTTTGGAGAGATACAATCTGGCCATTTGGGAGCATAATTCCAGCAGTGATTTCGAACTCTACAACATGGAAAGGCAATCAGATTACAAGAGGCATATTTCCTCTTTTTTATTATATTCACACACTACTTGCCTTGTACATTACCATTAGCATATTTGGTTTCCTTTACTATATCTGTACAGATTATGCATATAAGAATGTATGTATTCATGAGAATAATAAGAATTGAGTAACCTAACCTTCTGGTTACACTTTCTTCCAATTTCGTGTTCTTCTCTTCTCTTAATCATAAACTCGATTCTCAGCAAGTTTAGCTTGTTTGATCAACCTTAGCTCAGATTTCTTTATGGTATAAGAGCTCTAAGGTCCAAAATCAAGCATTTCTCATTCTTTTTCCGCATCAAACTCTGAAAAATCTCGTTTTCTGCCATGGATACTGCATTGAAACCAATTCCTATCACCCTTAATGGTGAAAACTACTTCTATTGGTCGAAAGCAGCCAAAGCTACACTCAGTAGCAAAGGTTTGTGGAATCATACCATCGATGACGGCTTCAGTTCCTCTCACCAAGTTGAGACACAAGAAGGCATTCCCGTGCAAGGTCTGCAAACACAACAAGCTGCTCAAAAAGAAAAGGCAAAATGGCACCAAGAAGACCAGTTGGCATTGGTCCTTTTGCAAGGTTCTCTTGATCAGAATGTGCTTCAATCCTTCATTGCCCTAGATTCAACCAAGGCTTTGTGGGACGCACTCAAGGAGGTTTACGGTAATCTCTCAAATATTAGCCGTATTTATGAAATAAAAAAGAAGTTGTCTTTGTTGCAATAGCAAGGCCGACCTTTCAACAAAGTTCAAGGAGAATATACATCTCTATGGAACGAATTGGAAGAGATAAGGCCTGTCACAATGGATCCCAAAATCGTTGTCGAGCGTGCTGAAGAGGATAAGGTCTTTGGATTGCTTCTTGCTTTGGATGCATCATTCAATGACTTGGTGTATCATCTCCTGCGTCAATCCAAACTACCACCATTCTCTGAGGTATGTATGATGATTAAACGCGAAGAAGGCGGTAGGAATCTGTTTTCAGGTTCTCTTGAGATGGCGCACTTCACCAAGAAACCGTTTTCTCCACTGTCTACACCGAGAGAGAAACGGTCTTTCCTATGCGATCATTGCAAGAAGCCTGGTCACATAAAGGAGCGTTGTTGGATTCTCAACCCGCACCTCAAGCCATCTCGCTACAAGGATCATCCTCCGACCAAAGGGGTTGCAATGTCTGCAGGCAATACTATCTCCTTCACTCAAGATGAATTCAAGCAATTTGTTCTTGCCATGAAGGAGAAGGATACTGGTAACTTTTCTTCTATCTTAACTCCTCACATAGTCATCGATTCAGGAGCAACAACACATATGTTCAAGGATAAAAATCTGTTCTATAGTATTGAAAAGTCATATGGTGTTGTTACTGTGGCTAATGGTAAGTTTGTTCCTATTGAGGGACATGGCATTGTTCGCATGTTTGGCAAGGAATTTTCGGCATTATATGTTCCTGAATTTAGTGCTAATCTTTTATCTATCCCTAAGTTAGTTCAAGATTCAAATTGTCGTGTTGTGTTTGATACTAATGGCGTACTCTTTCAGGATATTAAGTCGGATCATATTTTTGGCAAAGGAATAAAGAAGGGCAACCTCTACTATGTTGAAGATTTTCTTTGTTTTTCTGATTCTACCTTTCATGTTTCCCATTCACTATTGCATGCTAGATTAGGGCATCCTCATAATAAGGTTTTAAAGTTACTTTTCCCACAAGTTAAAGACATTGCAGTTCCTGGACATTGTAAGGCTTGTGTGCTTGGTAAACATTGCCGTGCGGTTTTTCCCCATTCTTCAACAGTTTACAATAATGCTTTTGAGTTGGTTCATTCTGATGTATGGACTTCTCCTTGTTTTTCAAGAGACAATTATAAATACTTCGTAACCTTTATAGACGAGAAGACTAAGTACACATGGATCTATCTCATGAAAAATAAAAGTGATGTGTTTGAAATTTTCAAAACATTCCATGCATTCGTGACTAATCAGTTTGCTCTAAGAATAAAATGTCTAAGAACAGATAATGGAGGTGAATACACAAGCCACTCTTTTCGGGACTATCTTAATCAACATGGCATCATTCACCAAAGATCATGTCCCAATACACCACAACAAAATGGAGTCGCTGAGCGTAAGAATCGACACTTGATGGAAGTCACTCGGACACTACTCTTTCATCGCAATGTACCTAAGCCTTATTGGAGTGATGCAGTCAAAATGGCATGTTATCTGATTAACCGCCTTCCCACGCAAGTTCTCCATGACAAATCACCATTCGAGGTACTCCATGAACACAATGCTTCTCTTGAACACTTACGCGTCTTTGGTTGTGTGTGCTTTGTTCATATAGATGAAGGCCAGAGAAACAAGCTTGAACCGAGGAGTATTCGCTGCATTTTCTTGGGTTATCCACCTGATCAGAAGGGATACTTATGTTACCATCCAGCTACAAAGCGAGTCTATGCTTCCCGAGAGGTCAAGTTCGATGAAGATCTTAGTTATTTTGATAACAAGGAGTGGCATTCTCTTGATGATCTTGTCCCTCAACGGACAGACTCCAACTTGTATCCAGAACAACTATTGACATCCTTTCAACACCTGAGTAAAATGCAACATTTCTCTCCTTCAAGCTCATCTCCACCTTCATTTGGACACCCCTCTCCCTTCCATGTCGAACCTGAGCACAATGACCATGCAGACTTAAACATGTCATCTGCCTCAATTGAGGACAGTATATCGACCTCTTCGGAGATAAGTGATACTCCTACCCCTAGCTCTTTTCCTTCTTTAGACACTAACAATGCAGGTACATCTCAAACCGATGCCAATACTTCTTCCCCAGCATCTGCAGAAGCTTCACATCATCATGTGCACCCTGAGGAGGCTCCATCAGACGTCTTGGAGGATCACGTGCAACCTGAGGGGGAACATATTGTTGCTCCGACATTAAGGCGGGGACTAAGGGACAGGAAACCACCTTCTGAATGGTGGAAGCTCCAGCATAACAACACAAGTCACCTCGCCACTGTGGCGCTGCAAGAGACATAATAACGCGAATAGAGGACATTTTAGCAACATGGGCAAATGTATCGGTGTAATCTTCCCCATATGTTTGAGTGAAACCCTTGGCAACTAAACGAGCTTTGTATCTTTCTACGTCGCCGTCGCTTTTGTACTTGATCTTGTATACCCATTTAGAGCCTATAGCTTTCTTATTCGCAGGAAGATCGGTGAGTTGCCAAGTCTTGTTTCTTTCTAAAGCATCAATTTCCTCTTGCATGGCATTTTGCCAAACTGATGAATCCTTTGCTTCTTCATAAGTCCGAGGCTCAATTCCCTGTTCAATAATACTTAAAAACGATTGAGCATGAGGAGGAAATTCAGCTAATGAAGCAACAGAACCGATGGGATGTGCCACAGTGGCGAGGTGACTTGTGTTGTTATGCTGGAGCTTCCACCATTCAGAAGGTGGTTTCCTGTCCCTTAGTCCTCGCCTTGCTGAGAATTGAGTTTATGATTAAGAGAAGAGAAGAACACGAAATTGGAAGAAAGTGTAACCAGAAGGTTAGGTTACTCAATTCTTATTATTCTCATGAATACATACATTCTTATATGCATAATCTGTACAGATATAGTAAAGGAAACCAAATATGCTAATGGTAATGTACAAGGCAAGTAGTGTGTGAATATAATAAAAAAGAGGAAATATGCCTCTTGTAATCTGATTGCCTTTCCATGTTGTAGAGTTCGAAATCACTGCTGGAATTATGCTCCCAAATGGCCAGATTGTATCTCTCCAAAGCCTCCAATAGAATCCAAGTCTTTCCTTGCTTGCAAGTCTTCGAACCTTCTGTTTGTAACCAAGTCTTCGTTTTCTCCAAAGCTTCCTTTTGAATCTGAGTCTTCAGTTGCTTGAGTCCTTCTGCTAGAATCCGAGTGTTTGCTGATTGCTCCTTGTTCTTCAACATTCCCCCTCAAGATTGGTCGGAGATATTCGGTAAGACCAATCTTGGAGAGAGTTTTGTTGAGAACAACGGAACTAGTCGCCTTTGTGAGTATATCCGCAAGCTGATCTTGACTTCTTGTATACATTGTAGAAATGATACCATTTGCGATCTTCTCTCGAATGAAAGAATATAGAGCTATGGCAAACACAACAAGTGAACTCGTATGGCTCAAACAACTCTTGGAGGATCTCGGGTTTGCTCCAACCAAACCTATACCACTTCATTGTGACAATCAGGCAGCTTTACACATTGCAGCCAACTCCGTATTTCATGAGAGGACAAAGCATATCGAAGTAGATTGCCATTTCATTCGAGAGAAGATCGCAAATGGTATCATTTCTACAATGTATACAAGAAGTCAAGATCAGCTTGCGGATATACTCACAAAGGCGACTAGTTCCGTTGCTCTCAACAAAACTCTCCTTGGATTAGAAGTTACTAGGGATGATGATGCTATCTTTCTCTCCCAACGCAAATACGTCCTTGATCTTTTGAGTGAAACAGGGAAACTTGGTGCTAAAGCGGTTCGTACACCTATTGAAGAACACTTCAAGGATCAACGCGAGGGGGAATTACTACAGAATCCAGAGCAATATCGTCGCGTTGTCGGTAAGCTCATCTATCTTACGATTACACGACCTGATTTGAGTTTTGTTGTGCATCAGGTTAGTCAATGGATGCACGCCCCAACTACAACACATTGGCAAATGATAGATCGCATACTCAAGTACTTGAAGGGCACCCCAAACAAAGGCTTATGGATGAGAAACAATCAGCATACGAAGGTCATTGGATACTGCGATGCAGATTGGGCAAGATCCTTAATATCGAAAACTGTTTTCAAATAGAGTTTAGTATCAGCAATACCAATCGAATCACTTCCTGTGAGAATGATATCATCGACGTAGACTAAAAGAATGATAATACTAGATTGAGTATGTTGAACAAACAGGGAATGATCTGAGTGACATCTGTGAAAGCCTTTAGCAAGAAGAGCGTTATGCAATTTCTGGTACCATGCCCT